TTTTCTTGCACTGTATCCAGGACCTTCTGGTGTGATCCCTTTCAGAGCAGTTGATAGTGGTAGCTGAGCACCATCTAGTTCTTCTGATCTCAGAGTCATGGTGACTGATGGTCACATGTTTCATTGGTCCACTGGACTAGTTGATTCCAAACATATTCAAATTTGTATCATTCTTCTTTCTTTTGTGTATGGAGAAACCAATAGTTGCACCTTAGATGGCTGCTCATAAGCTTTTAAGACCCATTGCTACTCACCACAGTAGGATGTAGAACATTGTCTTTGTGGACAGTGCTATGCCAATTGACCAGGGTGTCCCCTGAAGCTATCATCCTGCGCCCCCAGGCCCAGCAATTCATTGCCTTGAGATGGTGGATAATATCTAAGAGGGTTTCATCATTTTGTCCCCTGGATGTCCCACCACATTCAGTTTTGTTTGCAGCAAAGGCTAATCCCCACACACAAATAAATTCTTTGGAATCCTTATATATTTGTGGGAATACTCCCATTCTCCTACACATATCCGTTTAGCCGGTATACCTGTCCATGTATCTACCTGAAGAACAGTTTTCCAGGGTTGAGTATATAACAGTATTTACCTTTGTCCTCTTTAACCCTTGTAAATCTCCCTGTGTCTTCACCTGTCTTCATTGTTCGTCTGCCAACCTCTCTTTTCAAAGATTCATTTTAAAAAAACCAAAATTCATGCTATATTCCAGAACTATAAGTTCAAAAATCTATAAAGCAAAAGAAATCTGTTTCTATTTTAAAAATGAGAAGAAGATGGGAGGAATACACAGAGCCACTGTACCAAAAAGCAATGATGATGTTCAACCATTTTAAGAGGTAGCATAAGATCAAGAGCCAATGGTACTGAAGGAGGAAGTCCACGGTGCATTGGAAGCATTGGCAAAGAACAAGACTCTGGGAACTGATCGAAGACAAATTGAAATCTTTCAACAAACGGATGCAGTGCTGGAGGCATTCACTCATTTATGCCAAGAAATTTGGAAGGCAACTACTGGCCAACTGATTGGAAGAGATCCATATTTGTGCCCATTACAAAGAGAAGTGACCCAATGGAATATGGAAATCATAGAACAATATCATTAATATCACATGCAAGTAAAAGTTTGCTAAAGATGATTCAAAAACAGGTGCAACAGTACATGGACAGGAAACTTCCAGAAGTTTAAGCCAGATTCAAATGAGACCGTGGAAGTAAGGGTATCATTGCTGACGTCTGATAGATCTTGGCTGAAAGCAGAGAATACCAGAAAGATGTTTACCTGTGCTTTCTTGACTATGCAAAGGCTTTCAACTGTGTGGCTCCTGACAAACTATGGACAATACTGTGGAGAAGGAGTATTCCAGAACACTTAATCATACTCATGAGTGTCGGAAGCCAGCTCCGACACTCTTATTTGGGGGTCCTAGAAGGAGGTATGATGTCGGCGAAGAATGAAGCTCATAGAATCGATGGATCTTGTTAGATGGTGAATCTTCTTTCACATTTTTTTCTCCTCTTGCCTATTTCAGATTCTCAAGCAGCTTTTATACTACTCTATACCATCAATCTATTAATCATTCTTTTCAAAGTAGTGGTCTAAATCATACATATTAATCATTTCAATATAGAACATCAAGAATATCAAAATCTTCATTGTACCCCTTTACATAGTTAGACAATATCTGATTTTTATAAGCAAATCTCATTACTCTAAAAATGTCATGTTAACCTTAAAACATAATTTTAAATCTTAACTCCTATTCCTACTTTCACCTATTATTTTCTATAGATTCATTAATCACAACATGGACCTAGACATTATTTGCTAGGGTAACTGACAACACAATTGTTTCTCATGATTGATTAAACAAGAAATACACGAAGCATAAATAAGTTTTGTAGCCAAGAAGAAACAGAACAACTTCCTTAGACCAAAAACTTCTCCATACGAAACATCTAGTTAAATTTCTGCTTATGATCTAATACTATTCCCTTAGCCCTCAATTGCATTTTTGCCAATTTTCTAAAGGTCTTAATGCTCCTGACCGAAACTACACAGAATGTTGAATGTAATTTTAAACTTGAGCTGGCAAAAACTTTAGCTGGTTTTTCCTAGTGGTGAAACTTATTGTTAATGTGAGAAGCATTCTTTAGGACTACGCATGATTGAATATGGTGCAAATGTGCAAGTTTTAAATCTCTAATATATTTCTTACTAAGATTCTACTGAAAACTTTTATTATAAAATCAAGAAAATTAAAAATAAGCTGATTAAAACAAAAGACACAGAGACAGCAGAGTCCCCACATGAGATCTCTCCTGGGGCCCTGTGCCACAAAGGGGGGGGACCCATTGTGGCCCTGCTTAACAATGAGCCCTTCATGTTTAGGGTCCTCTGCATGGCCTCCGCCACATGAGGGACCCATACATAGACCAAGAGGCAGTCATTTGAACAGAACAAGCGGACACTGAATGGTTTAAAATCGGAAAAAAGTGTGCTCCAGGGTGGTATTCTTTCACCATATTTATTCATCTGTATGCTGAGCAACTACTCTGAGAAGCTAGATTACATGAAGAAGAGTGTGGCATCAGGATTGGAGGAAGACTCATTAACACCTTGTGTTATGCAGATGATACCACTTTACTTTGGTTGATGATTGGAAGGAGTGTAGTGCTATGGGTTAATGTGCTGGACTGCAAGGTCGGCTTGAACCTCAAGAACGGCAGTTCAAGCTCACCAGCTGCTCCTCAGAAACCCAACACAGGGGCACTATGAGTAGGAATCGACTCGACTCGACGGCAACATGCCCCCCTAGTGTTATTATTCCATTTATAGATTTGTCTATTGTTTGGCTAAAAATGGAGCCATGAATTCATTTCCAGATCTGAAAGTGAAGAGAATTACTAATGAAGATCAAAGACCACAGCCTTCAATATGGCTTGCACCTCCATGTAATGAAAACAAAAATCCTTACCACTAGACCAATAAATGATATCACGTTAAATGGAGAAAAGATTTAAGTCGTCAAAGATTTCATTTTGCTTGGATCTACCATGAACACTCATGGAAGCAGCAGGCAAGAAATCAACTAATGGAGCAGTTTGTACTCAACAGGACTTTCATCTCTGGGATGAATGAGCCCTTCCTACATGCAGGGAGAGGCTAAGCTGCTGCTCTGTAGTTCTGGAATGATGAAGCTCCCAATACAAGCATAAATCTTGGATTAATAATCCAGCTCTAACATTCTAAACTTTTATTAAAAGGAAAAAGGAATGATGAAAAGAAACTAAACTGGTGAGCATCCCAGCTGCCTTTGCTCAAAGGGAATCCCCAAGTCCTTATATTCTGTCTCTTGAAAGGAGTCTGAGGGTAGAGCCAGATCATGATAAGAGTGGGGAACCAAAGGCTGGGCTGGTGTCAGCACTGAGGCTATATCAAAAAAGATAAGGCTTCTTGGCGAGGAATTTTATCTAAGACAATCAGTGTAACCACTGACCAGTTGTTATCAGTACATTATCTGTAGATGTCATTTAAAAAATAAAGATTATGTATCTGCATCAAAAAGAAAAAGAAAAGAAAGAAATCAACTTATTTATTGCATTAGGCAAATCTGCTGAACAAGACCTCTTTAAAGTCTTCACGAGCAAAGATGTCAGCTTGAGGACTAAAGGGTACCTGACCCAAGCCATGGTGTTTTCAATAACCTCATATACATGTGAAAGTTGGACAATGAATAAAGAAGACTGTAGAAGAATTGATGCATTTGTGTTATGGTGTTGGAGGAAAATATTGAAGTTACTGTCAGAAGAACAAACATATCTGTGTTGAAAGAAATACAATCAGAATGCTCATTAGAAACCAAGATGGCCAGACTTCATCTGTCATGCTTTGGACATATTATTAGGAGGGACCAGGCCCTGGAGAAGGATATCATGTTTGATAAAGTGGAGGGACAGCAAAAAAGAGGGAGACCCCCAACCAGATGGATTGGCACAGTGGCAGCAGCAATTGTGAGGCTGGCACAGGACTGGGCAGTGTTTCATTCTGTTGTCCACAGGATCACTGTGAGTCAAAACTGTTTCAAGGGCACGGTACAAGGAAAACCACAACTTATTGGTCCAGTTGTGAGGAATTTTGTTTTCTTTACATTGATGTGCAACCCATACTGAAGACTGTGGTCTTTGATCTTCATCAATAAGTATTTGAAGTCCTCTGCTTTCAGTAAGCTAAGTTGTATCATCTGCATATCGCAGATTCTTGATGAGTCTCCCTCAAATCCAGAATTGTACATGTAATAAAAACATTGAAATGACAAATGTTTTGTTATATACGTTTGTTCCACAATTTGTGTTTAAGGGCAAACATAGTCAAAAAAAGAAAAAGAAAAGACAGAAGGCTTGCTTGTCTCATCTTCAGATGACCTATCTAGTGCCCACTGCTGGCTCCCTGAAAGCACAGGACAGTACATGCTCTCCAGCTCACCCACAGCTCACCTTTCCTCAGGGCTGGGGGCTCACAAGTGTACATTTCATGAAAAAGCAAGGACTGCAAAGCCAGAGGGAAGGGGCCACCAGAAACCCAGGGGCGAACCCACTGAGACCAGGGCAGGCAACAGGTGGGTCATATTCCAGCCAAGGAGGTTTATGTTGGTCCCTTCTCCCTGCTCTGTTCCCCGGGCAGGCGCTTCAATTCAATTTGTGATTTCATCTAAGAAGCAGCTGCAGATGCAGGGGTGACCTCCTGGGTCTCTGGGCCCCTATCTCTCTTCACTTGTGGTCAAGCTGTGGTCAACGCCTCCTGGAAGGGGAGTGAGGGTGAAGGAGCGATAGTCCCTCAGCCCAACAGTACCCACTGTCCATTGTCACAGGACCTGATAAGAAGGCCCCACCCCAAAAGCCCCCTGCCCTCTCCCAGGGGCCCTAAGCCCTCTGGCTCCATAAAAGGGACCATGGGGTCTGAGCAGAGCACCACTGAGGCCAGTCCTGTACTCCACCAGCTCCTACAAAGCCGCCACCATGTCTCTGACCAAGGCTGAGAGGACTATCATCTTGTCCATGTGGAGCAAGATCTCCACACAGGCTGACAGCATCGGCACGGAGACCCTGGAGAGGTGAGGCACTACAAGAGCTGTGGGTGAAGAAAGAGGCTCAGGAAGGGAGACAATGAGGGGGTCAGTGAGG